CCTATCTCAGTGGGAAAAAAATACCCTAGTTCCGTATTTGGTCCCACTGATGATAGAAACAAGAAAATCGATTCTGGGTTTTCAATAATATTTTTGTTATAAATTTCACAGTAATACATGTCAAACAAGTAACGTAGTTGCGTGATGTCTGCGGCCTTCATCCTATTCATAGCTATATTAAAAGTATTATCTCCACGTAGATTATTTGAATAATAATAATAATTTGAAACTCGGATGTTGAGCCATAAATAAATGTAGAAAGGAAATGGACATAAGGATACGAGTTAAGAGTAACTTTCTGACTGTATATAGTATCCAGTTACAGTGATGGAGAGTTACTCTTAACTCGTATCCTTATGTCCTTTTCCTTTCTACAATAATAATAATAGTAATCAAAAGTACGAAGTAGTGGTTGCGACTTTGGCGATGATTTGTAAGAAAGGGTTTGCTCCCCACACTGGAGCTCGCGCTATTCCGCCGACTTTACTTGACACTTGACTGACTCACGACTGCCATCCAGAGCACACGTGAAGTCCATCGAACCTTCGACTCGGCAAACCTGCAGGAAAGCACCATTCCCTGCTCAATACACAGTGTTTCGGGGAATTCACCCCTCATCAGTTGAGCTTGAGTAGGCTGAGGAAGATTGTGCCTGAAGAGCACCACTTATATAGTGCTCTCCAGGCACAAATAATAATCAAGCAATTAAAACCAGTGTTCCGACAGTAAAATCAGTATAAGCAATATTGATGGATCAGTGATCCAAAAATCTAAACAATAAATGCCGTTGCGCCACACGTGCAGTGCAGAACCTACACATGTACAGTATACACGCATGCGTGTATTTAGGCCGTTCTTCTCGGTCTCGTGCCTCGATGGATGCCTGGGTTGGTGCGGTCCTGACATGACTACCAGCAAAGGAGCCGACTGGCGAGCGCCCACACGGCGTTATCTGTTTGCACATGTTGCATACCAGCCAGCTACAAGGATATCATCGGTCGTGCATTGACCAATTTTGCAGCTTAGAGAGCGCTGTGCGGGCCTGAGGCGTGTATTTACCGCCATTTTGCCAGGTGTCTTTCAACGACCATTTCTCTATTATAAGATGCTGCATTGGAGTCTTGATATCACACTGCTGGTATTGATTATACATGTACATGTCGAATACCACAGAATCCACCATTGTTAGCCAGGGTGCGATATTATGACTTACAAGGCATGTACATTTTTATTATTATTATTATTATTACAGTCGACCTACCCTTATAACGATATTTGCGCCACACCAAGAAATATTGTTATAAGGGTAATATTGTTATAGGGGTAACTGGTTCATTTCATACACATACGTCATAATGCATGGATTTTGTTCATTTTTTACACTCTCCATAGCATAAAAACTGACATACATGCACATTATGTGCACAGCAAGGTACCCACTGGTGTCCCATTGCATTTCGTCATGTCCCAACGACTTATCAAGTGAAGCTTGCCCTACCTGGATAGTAGGCTCTACATATTCCCTGCTAGATATTGTTATAAAATGGAAAATGTCGATTGGTCAGCCCATTTTATATCGTTATAGGGGTAATATCGTTATAGCAATATTGTTATAGAGGTAAGGCATTGTATACACAAGTCAATGGAGTGATTTGGTTTGGCAGAAAAATATTGTTATAAGGGTAATATCGTTATAGAGGTTATCGTTATAAGGGTAGGTCGACTGTATTCTCAATTCATGGATGACATGGTGTCAACCAATATTATGAATGAGGGCTACCAGCCATGGAATAAAAGAACAAGAAGGCAAGAATGCACATGCAAAATATGGCAAGTTAAATGAAAATGAAAATGAAAGTAAATCAATCCAAAACCAAAATCAATTATAAAAATTAGGGGTCAAACGGGTGTATCTTTAACTAACGAACGGGTAATTTTCTTAACGGGCGGGTTAACGGGTACCCTTTAGCAGCCATATTATTTTTTTGTGCATTTCTCACATAAATCATGATTTTAATTTGTATTCTCAGATTGTATTTTGTCATTATGATTCGCAATTGATTCGTGTATCATAATAGTATTATGGCAATGAAGGTTCCAAATGAATGTCATCCGTGCATTTGCCCATGTACATAACTTCACAGGCAGTAACTTACAATCGTACATGTAGATGGTCCTTCAAGCTACATGTATTTTGATACATGTACGCAAATCAACTGCAGATCGATGTGATTCAAGCCATGCAAGGGCAGAGTGGTTTAGCAAAACTTCCGTGATCTCGCGCAATCCTATTTGCTATGTTCGCAGAGAACTGGTACTCGTTGCATTCAGAAGATGTTCCGATTGTTCGCGCCCATAGCTAGCTGGTTTGCCTGACACAGCTGATGTGCTGCTGGCCAGCTAGCTGCTAGTGCTAGCTTGTTGAACTCGTGAAATGAATCTTCACAAATCCGTAATCTTGAATGCAATATTTCGAACTACTTTTCAGCTCGTCGATTGAAGGAACAAACTACAACCATGAGTATCATACATGTAGCTACCACCTACGGACATCACCGTTTGTGACACTCGGCCTGGTGACACTAGTTCATCAAGTACTGTGGCAGGTTCGATGTCGGAGAACCATCGTAACTTTCTAGTTACTCAGCTGCCACCTCGAACGAGTTTCAAGTCTTGCATTTTCTCACATCACAATCAAAAACCTCCAGTACGAGGATTTTTACTTGCACTAGAGTGGAGAGAACAACTGTCAAGTCTGTCTTTCAGCCTGCTCCTGCCTGATAAAGTCGAAAGCGAGAATGCACAGGAAAAAGGAAAAGAGTATCCGCACTCCTATTTTTTTTAGTCTTGGAATACGATAGGATCACCTTTTTTTTCTTTTTTTTTTTTACAAACGGGTACCCTTTTACTAACGGCACCTGAGATTAACGGGCGGGTACCCGGGTACCCGGTACACCCGTTTGACCCCTAATAAAAATCAATCCAAAACCAAAATGAATTGTACGGGTAGCATATGTGATTTACTTTGGAGCTTGAAGTAATACACAAAGAGAATTGAAATCAATGATTAGTAAATGAAGATCGACGTACGTGTATATTTATCAAGCTTAAAAACGCATTGAAGGTGTTGCTGGACTTTAATTGCTGAGGAAGAGAATCCCATAATTGGTATGCTAGGAATACAGGCGATTTGCTCATAGAATTGTTTCTTGCAATCGGGAAACGAAGCGAGTTCCGGCTTGTTGAGGATTCATTGAACCAGTTTAAGGAATGCTGCACATGCTGAGGGGCAGTGATAAGTTTGATTTTGTGAATGTATATGCAGGAGGATCGGTCAATGTAATGTTTCAGAGGAAATGTACAGCAATTTTCATAGAGAACGGCTATGTTGGTCTCGGGCGGCAAACGAAGTATTGCCCGGAGAATCCGTCGATGCACAATCTCCAGCTTTGCAAAGAGGCCATTACCAGCGCCACACCACACCACACAGCAATACAAGAAAATAGGCAAAACGTATGTATGATAAAAGGTCTTTCGGCATTCTGGTGAAATGTGGGGGAGATGGCCATAAAGAATACTGACGACTGAGCTTGCCCGCTTTTCCAGATTCCGAAAATGGTGGGACCAGTCCAATTTGCTATCAAGTGTAACGCCAAGGTGCTTGTGACGAGAGGTTATAGGTATCGGGGTAGGATCATCGGGGAAATGGAAAATAAAAGTTTGAAGATGTGCAACATCTGATGACGCGTTGGGGACGACACACATGATCTCGGTCTTGGTGGAGTTCGGCCAGAGTTTCCACCTTCGCATCCACTTGACCACACAGTCTATTCCTACCTGCAGTTCTTGACACGCGACGGGGAACGACCGGTGACTAGCCAGCAGAGTGGTGTCGTCCGCATATAGCGAGGTGTTGGGAATTGCACCGATATCATTCACATACATTAGAAAAAGCAGGGGCCCCAGAATTGATCCCTGGGGGACACCAGAACATACGCGTTCAGGGTGGCACAATTGACCCGAGATACTCACTTGCTGTGAGCGACCACACAGTGCTGCCAAATAATTTATGCCCCAAATAGGACCACCCTTCACCGCCAAGGCTGGTCACAGAGTACGAATTTTTCGTCTGAAAATTTCCCCGAGAATTCAAAAATCGCCCAATATACCATGAAAAATCGCTCCATTGCCATGGTAACTGATGTGGCACCCCGAAGTTATTTATTTATTTATTTATTACAGCATCTCATAGCACAGTGAGAACACCGGCCAATACAAAGAGAGAGGGTGTTAGCCAACCACGGCAAGGAAGGGAGAAGGGGAGGAGAAGAAAAAAAAGGAACCGGCATGGATAAGTAGTGATTGCAACAAAATGAGAAACACAAAATCAAAGTCAAGGCGCGACAAGGCTCTTAAAAAGGCGGAGGGAAGAAAGGTCCTAAGCTTCTTGGGGAAGTGCCAGCCACGCAGAGTGCGCAGTGAAAAGGGGAGAGTGAAGTAGAAAGGACGACTTGGGTTTCGGAAGGGAAAGGGAGTTTCTCGTGCTACGGGAAGAAAACCAGTTGAAACAGTGGAGGTGAGGTGGACACAGATTGAGTTTGAGAGAATGGATAAGGGTGACAAGATGAGTTGTCCTGAATTATGTAATGCATGAGTGTGGTTGCACACTGTACACTGTACAGTGTACAGTGTAGATGCGATCCAGGCGTGTTACTTTGCACTTCCACAGCCAAGCGCGCCAGCCTTTTTAGAAGCACATCATACAGTGATTTGTGCCTTCAGTTGCGTTGAAAAGTGAAAATACAGGACTTCTGGATAGGAAAGTACTGATCCCTGACGTTTTTGGCTGCTTTTTGGACGTTTCCTTTCTCGGACCGGTTTTCGGAAGAGCCTTCAAAAATCGGATACTGTCCAAAAAATTGGACGGTTTGGCAGCACTGTATGTACCTAACATGCTAGAGAGATGATGACCATGGTATTGATTTTGTCGATCACTGCAGTTCTTGGTTGTGGAACACCACGGAATCCAACACTGTTGTCTGGGGAAAGGTACGCCACATCATTGTCATCCAGTGGAAGTTCCAGCCTGGGCAGTGTCAGGATGTATCAGTGCCCAACAAGCTTCATAATCAAAGGAAGCCAACCAGCCATGAACACAAGTACTAGTAGCATAAGATGTCGACTGAGTGGTAGTTGGACAGGTCCAGTGCCACTATGTACTGGTATGTACCGGAAGTGCCAGTGGCTCTCATTTTGATGACTAATAAATAGAAATATATAGTGGCCAGCTGTTGCTTGCCTCTGTTTGCCAGCATAATATGATGATCATTGCATTGACAATTATGCTCCCGGTCGCATGTAGTACACGTATATTTACTTTACACGTTGTAAGAAACAGGTTCAGATGTGATGTGCAGCTAGTAATTCCATCTATTTTAAAGTTTTATCACAAATCAAGTGGATCATTTGCACACAAAAATGCTGTACGGTAACAGAAACCATGCAAACCAGAGTGCACAATGCCCCGTGGGAGTTTTAGAACACAGGAATGTGTCCTCTACAGCAATAAAAACTAACTCTTTGTTGTTTTATGAGTCGTAGACACATCAGCTTGCTAGTACAGTACTGTGTTCCATTCGCACTACAATGCTGCTCAATGAAATCCAGTCGCGTCCCCCAAGCACACGCCGGTCGTTGCGCAGACCGAGACCTGCGGACATTGGGCTGCAAAATGGTGCAAGGCACAAACTAACTTGAGTGGCATGACTGAATTTCATTTAGCAGCACTGTATTTGATTGCATGATGTATAGATTCTGCCATTGCTGATTTATTCGCTCTTACCACTGCCACTGACATTATCGTTGTTACTGTTGTTTCAGCTTTATCCTCTCCCACTGTAGCGGCAACAACACAATCAACCACACAACAAACTACACCAACAGCAACGGCAACGGCAACAGCACAGACAACCCAGGTATCAACCACATCACCTCCAACATTACAAGCTGCTACAACAGTAGCACAGACCACACAAAGACAAACAACAGCAGGAGGAATGACGACGCAACCATCCACAACCCTGGCACGAACAACGCAACCATCCACAACCCAGGCACCAACAACTCAAGCCCCCACAACCCAGGCACCAACATCTCTAGCTCTGACAACACGGGTATCAACTGTGCACGTGTCTACAACACGAACAACGCAACCAAGAACAAGTCGAGCACCGAGGACTACTCGGACACGGACAGCTACAGCTCAAACGTCACGACCCGGTACAGGAACACGAGCATCATCATTAGCATCCTCAGCATCATCATCTCTTCCCACATCAGCCTCGACGCTGGCAGTTCAAACATCCGTAGGAGTAGTGGGGCCTGCTGCAAGCTCAGGTGAGAATACCTATCATGTCTCCCATGAAATAACGACTGTGATACCATTCTTATCATTACGGAATTTGACTTCTTTACAGGGGTGTCGGAAGGTATTTTAGTGTGGTACGAACAGCCATCTGGAATACAATTTACTCGTGTGGGAGGGGTGGCTGCCGAAAATGTTGGAAATTTTAGAGCCCAGATGAGTGTATTTTAGGCTGCGTTCGTTTTTAGCTACCTTGTAGAGTAGAGTAGAGAAACTCTACCGATAGAGGTAGATGGTAGAGGTAAGCGCACGAACGCTGTTCTACCGGATTTACTAGTTTACACGATGTGTACGTGAAATGTTTCTTTTTGTATGGAGTTGTGTACAAAGCCTTGATCTTGCTGGAAATCCCGTAGCTCTACCAACTTCTACCGGCTTCTACCAACTTTTTTCCTGGTAGAGCCGGTAGAAAAAAGTAGAGTCTACCCTTTTGAGCAGAAGTTTTTTCAAAAAACGAACACCTCTTCCGAAAGAAGTAGTTTCTACCCAAACCTATAGATCAAAAACGAACGTCCCCTTATTAATTCACGGGGTACCTGCGGGCAAAAAGTGGTACGGTCAATACCATAGTGACCGTACCGTGTTCGACGCCCCTGTTTCATCATAACATGCCAAGAAAGTCTCTGCTACTTGTACTTGTTTTCTCCTGTTCTGTGTCCAGGAAACACATTGGCAATAGGAGTAGGAGCTGGTGTTGGTGGAGTACTGCTGGTGTTGGTCATTATTATCATTCTGATTGTCCTGATCAGAGGAAGGTATGTGTGTGTGTTTGTTTGTGTGTGTGTGGGGGGGGGGGGGTGTGTGTGTGTGTGTGTGTGATGTTTGTGTGTGTGTGTGTGTTTGTGTGTGTATTTGGTGTGTGTGTACATGTGTGTGCGTGTGCATGTGTGTATGTGTGTGTGTGTGGGGGGGGGGTTAAAAAATCGCGGCTGAAGTCAGAGTCGGCTAGAGGCCGAGTTTCCCATTCACTGCATCCATGCTTCCCTTGTGCCAGGCCACGAGTTCCCAATTAACTGTGGGTCGCATCACGGCTGGAAAAATTCTTCCGCTTCCAATCAGGACTTGAACCTGGTCTTAGACCATCCCACTATGCCTGCTTGGGAGGGGGGGGGGGGATGTAAGACATAATTATGTTATCCTTCCACTTAATCTCCCTTTTACCCAAAGAAAAAAAGTATTACTTCTCAGTGAAAAAACTGTGCTAGAACATCAAACATTGGTTGGAACAATGAATAACGGTACTCCATACATTTGCACACTTATGAGAATAAATAGTTAAAGTACAGAGAGCTTCAAGAGCTTTTAACAACTGCTTGACATAACTTGCATGGCCACAGCATACAGAAATGAGATCTTCACTTCGAAATCCAACTCTTAGGCCTCCTGACCGCCATCCATGTTGTGATTAGAAACAAAGCCAGCTTAGGAAGTTTCACGTATGTCGAATTTGTAGTGAAAAATTTATAACATTTTTATAAAAATAATCATGTTTCACTTTTTCTGCCCCCCCCCCCCCCCCCCCCTGCCTCTATGTCCTAGGACCGGAGGTGGAAATGAATCCGCAGTGGCAGGTGGGAAGAGCACATCACCAAGCATCAGAAGTAACTTCTCCTCCATCCAAGCTGGAGACAACTATGACCAGGTGGTTCTGTCGAATTATTCAACTGGTGAGTGTCTACCGGGATTGTGGCACAACTCAGGTTCTAATTCTAAACACAGGTTCTAATTCTAAACCACACAGGCATGACATAGACTGTAGACATGTACACGATGCCACCTGTGCAGACTAATGTCTTGGTAGTTGGTACACAATGGAGATTGCACTTTTTAGTCACATTTCCTCCTGTGTACTGTCCCCCATGTCTTCAGAAAGGGAAGAAGAAGAAGAAGGTAAACGACCTTTGAAAAAGGCCCTCTCTAGTCAACCAACATTGGAGATTGTAGAATCCACCTTCTCACGGGGCTCCCAAGAGGTCAGAAGGTAAGAAATAGCAACTTGTTTGTCACAGTTCCAGCCTGCCTAAGCTCAACAGACCTTTGTACAACAGAATGTCAACCGGTTTTGCTGCAAAATGCATATATACTTGCACTTCACATTTTTTTCGCTAAACAATCATCAAACGAATGATCATCTTTTACATTAGAGCTGGGTTCAAGTTCAAAATGAATTGGATGGTGGTTACATTGGCATCATGGATTGCTTTATGTGTACGATAAATGTGGACAGCTGGTGCTTGGTGCTCATGTGCATGTATTCAGCCTCTCTCCTCGTCATAACAATAGTTAAATGAGCTACCTTTGGTTAGCAAAATAGATAAGTACATTTAATTTCTGCGGACAGAACTGTTTTGTTCTGTGTCCTGTGTAAGCACAGACGTGTAACCTTTCTTGGATAAACCAAGTCAGGAAAATCTCTCTTTTGATCATATTAGTAATGGTTGGGTCTGTCCAGTGTACACGATACATCTACGTGTATTTTCTTGTCTGTTCCAGTGGCAGTGCAGGTGACAAAATCGCAGCAACAATATTGTATCATGATATAGGTCCGGCATCTGTTGAAAAGAATACACCATATTACTCACGTATGGCGGAAGTGAGGGGGACGGCATCAGCTGAAACAACTTCAAATCCTTCTGCTTTGATGGGTGCACCTGCGTACGAAGAGATGGCTCCAATAGGCAAGAAAGAGGAGCAGAATTCATCACAAGTTGCTGCTTCAGTGCCTCCTGCATTAGTGGGCGCATATGTGTACGAGGAGATGGCTCCATTGGGAAAGGAGGAACAGAATGCCATTGATGCTGCAGTGTCTTCAGCGTTAATGGGTGCACCTGCGTACGAAGAGATGGCTCCATTAGGCAAGAAAGAGAAACATGATGCATCACAAGTTGCTGATTCAGTGTCTCCAGCGTTAGTGGGCGCATATGTGTACGAGGAGATGGCTCCATTGGGAAAGGAGGAACAGAATGCCATTGATGCTGCAGTGTCTCCAGCGTTAATGGGTGTATCCATGTACGAAGATATGGCTCCATCAGGCAAGAAGGAGGAACAGGATACAACGCAAGTTGCTGCTCCAACGTCTACCAATAGATACCAACCACTGGGTCCTGCTGGTGCAACAGAGCAATACCAAAGTGTAACTCCAGTCCAGGCTGAGAGAGTACCTACCAAGAGCATGACATCATCCAAGCCTACATCTGTGTATGAAGAGGCCGCACCAGCAAGCAGGATAGAGCAATACGAAACACTCATTCCTGACGTTCAACGAAAGAACATGGACAACAGGACACCAAACTCTACACCAATGCCAGGAAACACTGCCACCGTGTATCAAAGAGTGGGAGATGGAAGTCAGAAGGAGCAATACCAATCACTCATGCCAGATGTACGCAGGTCAGTAACAGACAGTACTTCCAGCAGTGTACCTACAGCATCGACTGTTTACCAGGATTTGAATGTAATGAGCAAACAGGGACAATACCAATCACCAACTCATCCACGGTTGAGAAAGCCGTCGCATGATCAAGCAGGGAGTTCATCGCCGCCTGCGTCTGGAGGTGCTTCCGACCGCTTACCAAGATCCACACAGTCCAAGCAAGGTCAGTCACAGTACAGGGGGAGCTGAGCACTTTCCATTATTAGTAAGATACTCAGACAGTCACATCTATATCAACTCTATAATTGCACGGCAGTGTGTTCTTGTCCTTCTCGACTTCATGACACTGTAGTACTGTGCTCTTCGAGAAATCAAATGCACTCAGCAATAAGAATACTCGATTGTAGAATCTCTTGCAAGCTTAGACTGCCATTCATGAGGGCAGATCAGATGAAAATGTCAGCCTGTATTGTGAATGGAAGATGCTAACAGTCTACGATGGTCTTGCTCACAAGGTTGGGTATTGATATGTGCTTTTTCTGTAATCAGTGTCTGGACAAACCCAGAGAAGCAAATTGGCGCAAGATACTCGAGAAGTTAGGGCAGTGTCTCTTTCCTCTGCAACTAACCAGCCACCCAACAGGTAGTAGTAGTACACCCAATGCTTGGAGTGTGGTGCATGCATTTCAGAATTGTTTCCATGCTCCACATTGAATTGTCCATGGGAGCTGAGAAACATGATGCTGTGTCATCAGGTTTTTGCCTAATATGCCCATTTGTTGTTGAGAAATAAATAAATAGAGTTATGAGGTGACAGTCGGTGGATGGCAGTGTAGGCATATCCTGGGGTGTAGCTCCTGCATAGTACTAGAAAGAAGGCTTGTTAGGAGCTGAACGAATTATCGAAGTAATGTTGACGCTCCGGTGATTGTATTATCTGATGATGTAAGAATCATTGTGCACCAGGAGTAGAGTATGGTATTCGAATGTGGCATGGCCCTAATTCCTGGATTTTGCTCCTTGTCACGGGTTCATGGATCCGATCTGTCCTCGCCATTATTTAGAGGCTGCATCGTATGCTTGCTCATGGCGTACCCAGTCTGCATATCCGTAATATTGCAAAAAAATATGTCAGTAGTAGTATTCTTTTTATTTATAGTGGAGAAACCAAAACAGGCAGATGCCTAATAACAATGGACCAAATCAAATTTTGAAGTCTTTTCCTTCAGATTACTTTCTTCTCCTTGAAGATACAGTCATATACTCTGTTGTTAGCTTATTCGTCTTATCACCCCACAAACACTAGATATCTAGATAGGATGCAGGCGCCCGCAGCAAACTTTCTGTAGCCAGTTGAGCAAACTTGTCAGTTGGAACTTCCAAATTGCTTTGTCTGAAACTCTATAATAATAATACTTATCACGTCGGGGTCACCAACGTTGGCGTGCTCTTTTCCTTTGGCATTCATACTGTTTGGTAACACTTTTCTTGCTCCTCAATTAATTAATAATACAGTGCAAATCTATCGAGCACGCCAAAGTTATGTTTTGTAGTAGATTATGTTGTGGGCTCAAACTGCACTGCTTTCTTCTCTTTACTCAAAATGCCTTTATCCATTCAACGTTTCGGTCTATGACCATGATCACGAATGAGGAAATGTATGGGAGGATCAGGCTTGTTCTAGTCAGCACCTCAACATAATTGGACATAATGAAGCTACAAAAAGCATCCAAACTCATCTTGGATATGTCTGTAGTCTAATACCTGTACGTGTTCTCATCAGCAGAATAATGGAGACATCATATCGGTGTGATCTCTATTTGCCACAGGGGGTCCTGTGTTCAAGGCAATGCCTCACCAGCAAACCCTGGGAGCACTGTCTATCAAGCTCTAGGAACAGAACCCCAGGAACACCTGTATGAATCGTCTATAGTTCCCAAGCCCAGCAACACAACACAGGAAGCTGGTCTTGCAGCGGCGCCCACAGGTGATTACCAAGCAATATTGGCAGCATACGTGCAAACGTCTGATTACGAGCAGCCACAGAAGCACGAGAAATCACCATCATGAATACAGTGTGTCATCCTGTTGTTTGCAATGACTGAACTATTGGCATGAACTGTGTATGACACACACAGTGGCAATCTCATAATATCACTATCAGTTTGTGATTGTTGCTAGTCTGCACATGGCAAAGCTGCAATTCTATTGATGAAGAAGTGTAGGGATAGTGCTACAAGTACAACTGACGTTTTGATAGAACACAATTTTAAATGCTTTGGTGTGAACTAAAACTGGCTTCTTCATCGTGCGAATATTGACCAGAATATGGTGATTGCTTGTACGAGAGTGCTACACAGTCAACTAACAGCTTTTTTTTCCAATTACTATTTGCGTGAATTGTTTGCAGGCAACCTGCCTACACTCAAGAGAGCACTGCATTTCACACAAATCCATTGGTATCGTTACAACGTTTCGGTCTTTATGACCATCATCAGGAATGAAGTGGACATGGAAAGAACAGCAGTATAAAAGAAGGAGGCAAGCAAGCAAAGCGCGGTGCATAGTGACAGCGCGCGTAGAGAAGTGCAAAGCACGTCATGGCGGGTGTGCATTACTACATATACATGACAACACAAGCACAAACGGCGAGGAAAGTAGATACTGCGCTACAGCAGTGATAACAGCCCAGTTACAGTCTCACACCACCAGTGAGGTGTCTAGAGCCCCGCGCCACTCGCAGTAAGGTGGTGTTATAGCAGATCCCAGCCACTGTTGTTATTAATTTCCGGGGATCGCTCCCTGATATTGATTGCCTCCCGGATCCTCCTCCTGGGGCGGTCACGCTCAGAACCGAGAACCCGGATACCTGAGAAAGCCGTTGCTCCCAATGGCAATGGGTCAGATGCATGCTTGGCCGCGAAATGCTCACCCAGCGCGGTGCCGCTCACTGTGTTGCGTGCGTCGTCGTTGTGTTCTTTTGTCCTGGTAGCGAGGCTGCGGTACGTCTCTCCGACATATTTATCACCACATCTGCACTCGAGGTGGTATACCACGTTTCGCTCTGTGCATGCTTCTGAACCGGACATGCAGGCGACACAAGCAGCCTTGGGCCGCCCCCGCTTACGGGGCTTGGACGGGTCTACATACCTGCGGCATGGTGGTTTGCGGAGGGCAGACGTGCAAATCATAGAACTTAGACGGCGGTTCCTGTAAATCAGCTGGGCATTTATCTTGTACTTCCGGAGTAATTTATGAATTTTGTTGTGGATATACTCGGTGTGAAACGGTAGGTTGAGGGTGACACGGTATTCATTCTGCACTCTGACACGTCGGGGGCGCATAGCTCGTTCACGTGCCGAAACTATAACTGACTCTGGGAAGTTGTTGAATTTTAGGATGTTGGTTACTTTTTCTTCACTACTTTTTAGGGTGTCGGCATCGGAGGATAGGCGGACGGCACGCAGGAACTCAGAGGAAGCAATTGCTTTCTTTTGCTGGTTGGGAACTGACGAGTTGTAGTCTGATGTCACTATGCACCGCGCTTTGCTTGCTTGCCTCCTTCTTTTATACTGCTGTTCTTTCCATGTCCACTTCATTCCTGATGATGGTCATAAAGACCGAAACGTTGTAACGATACCAATGGATTTGTGTGAAATGCAGTGCTCTCTTGAGTGTAGGCAGGTTGCCTGCAAACAATTCAAGTATAATGAAGCTGCGTGAAGCGTCCTTCAAAATTTTGATACTATTTGCGTATTTATGTTGTGGGCTATTCACATAATATTCTGAAATTAAGCCCTGAGGTAATTTTGATATCATCTTTTTACTCCTCTTATTTCATAGCCTGATATACATGGATTTCAATCATAAAAATATCTAGTAATAATACTTCCGAAAGAAGGGTCAGTCACCCCTCATCAGAATGATTCCCTTTGCTTTCCTTTAGTAAATTAGTATCACCTCAGTAGCCTAATCTCCTGTATACCATTCATTTCCTTATGTTTCGTTTTGCGGACAAGCAGTTTCTTGTGACCGACTTGAAAGAAAACTATCTAGCTTACAATATTAGTTGTGTGAGAATCTTGCCCCATGAGTAATACAAACCCTTTGTATGCATCCCTACTGCCTAGTAGGGATACTCCACTGCTAGAGTAGAGAGTGACCACAGTGCATGTACCAGTACTGATGTTTCGTCACTACCTCCAGGACTACACCTTACCCACAGCTCTCCAGTTCCTGGGACTTTGTTTTAAGGAAATGCCATGCCACCTGCTATAGTCGTGACCTAGATTGTCCAATGCCACACTGACTGTGGACTCTCGCCCCACACATACATGTACATGTAGCTTGTAAAGAGTATGGTACTGTGGCCAGGCTCCAAGAAGTAGCGTTGTGGTCCAGCCAGTCCATGCCCAATGCAGTACGCAGTCAGTGGAACCCCGATATAACGTACCTCCATGGGTAGCAGGAAAGTGTACTTTGTATCTTTTTTTTATACGAAAGTCCACTATAATTATTCCCGAATATGTGCGAGAAGTGGTGGATGGGCCAGGCTGCTCTTGTAGTGCCTGCACGGATTTCTTGCGATTTATCTTTCGTTCCGCGATTTCGTAATTTTGTACATTTCTCAAGCTTCTAATTCTGCGCGGCAACATTTTGTTTACAGGATGTAGCCTTTATCATGTTGCCATTGTCGGCTACGTAGAGTACCATGCTACGCATGACCCTCGGAACGTTGCGCAGATGTACCACTTCCTGCGAACTCTGCTACATGTACATGCTTATGTACTCTACCATATTTGTATACATGTGTTTTGTTGTTGTTCCACCAAGTATCCTTTACGAGGATCTAGCTCGGGCATTGAAAGTCGGCTCAGGCTTTCTTCTTCTTGCTTTTTCCACTTCTGGACTTCTGGCAGTAGTTTGTGGTTTGTCTCTGCACGTAGAATTCTTCCTTCGTTGGACTATCTCCTTGCCATTTCCTGTGAGCAATATACCGATTCTCGCTGACTCGATACTGGGAGTTAATTGTTAAAAGAACATTGTCTGCTGTACGCGTGATTAGAGGCACGTTTCCAAACCCTCTAAATTGGTGACCCTGAACGTTCTTCAGTCTCCCGAGCCTTCGTCGAGTCTTTTTCACAATGTCTATACCGCTGGACGTTAGTTCGTCGCCGTTATTCCAGCCAGCGCCCGCCACCGGCAACACTCCGTCTGCGGCCACTAGTGCCGCCCCATCTGTGGCCCTGCAGACCCCCGCTCCGTCGAGTGCCGCATTACTTGCCAGTCATCGTGCTGCATCGCGACCACCTACGGCCAGCGCTCTACTGGCTCCAACGAATGCTGTGAGCCTCAAGCTGCCGCCTTTCTGGTCCAAGGACCCTGCCCTGTGGTTCGCACAGGTGGAGGCAGTTTTCGCCACACGAGCCATTACACGGCAAACCACCCGGTTCGAGTATGTCGTCGGCGCCCTAGAGCCCGAGGTCGCTGTCGAGGTCCGTGACCTCATCCTGTCTCCACCGGCTCAACAGTGCTACGACGCGTTGAAGGCGACTCTGATCCGTCGCACGGAGACCTCCCAGCAGCAGCGTCTACGCCAGCTACTGACGCAGGAGGAGCTGGGCGACCGGACACCCAGCCAGCTGCTGCGCCGCATGCAGCAATTGTTGAGCAACGCACCAATGGATGCAAACTTACTTCGGGAGCTCTTCATTCAGCGTTTGCCATCCGGCATCCAGATGGTGTTGGCCTCCTCGACCGCCACACTACCGCTGGCTCAAGTTGCGGAGATGGCGGACCGCATTATGGAGGTGTCTCCTCCCTCGGTCAGGCCAGCCACAGTTGCCAATATGCCGGCTTCCGCCCCAGTGCCTGCCACCGCGGCTAGTGATGATATGAGCGAGTTGCGCGCACAAGTTGCTGCGCTCACTGCCGCCGTTGACCGCCTGTCACGTTCGCGGTCGTCTAGCCGCTCTGCTAGCCGCTCTGCATCTCGGAGTGGTAGCCCAAGACGGGACGGCTTGTGTTTTTACCATGACAAGTTCGGCACTCGCGCCCGCAACTGCAGACCGGGGTGCACATGGCAGACGGATTCCCAGTCGGAAAACAGGGGAGCCAGGCAGTGAAGGCGGCCATCACCCCTGGCTCATCCATTGCTCCCGGCCGTCTGCTGTTCATCCGCGATCCCGCCACGACCCTGTCGTACCTGATTGACACGGGTGCGGCAGTGAGTGTCATCCCACCCCGTGCTAGTGACAAGCCCAGCCCGCCATCGGTGGTGCAGCTCCAGGCTGCTAATGGCACACCTATTCGCACCTTTGGTGAACGTTCGCTTTCGCTCACGCTCGGCCTCCGACGTAACTTCACGTGGACTTTCGTCGTTGCAGACGTCACCTCGCCTATCCTGGGGACAGACTTCCTAGCCCACCACGGCCTACATGTCGACCTGGAGCATCGTTGTCTGCATGATTCCCGGACCAAACTTTCCTCTGCTGGTCTCCTTGACTCTACTGTGCCCATCAGTCCTGTCCTCGCTACGCCTGCTACTGACTCTCTGGGCACTGCTGTTCTACGTGACTTTCCTGAGTTGCTGCCACAGGCCAATATTGCTCTGGGCTCCGTAAAGCACAGCATTCAGCATGTGATTACCACCCACGGCCCACCTCAGTTTGCTCGCCCCCGTCGTCTGTCACCAGCCAAGCTCACAGCTGCTCGCGCTGAGTTTGACGTTCTGCTCCAACAGGGTATCATCCAGCCGTCATCTAGTCCTTGGGCTTCTCCTCTGCACATGGTTCAAAAGAAGTCCGGAGATTGGAGCCCCTGTGGCGATTATCGCGCCCTGAACGCCGTCACTGAGCCTGATCGCTACCCGATTCCCCACCTTCACGATTTCGCCGCTAACCTTGCTGGCTGCACGGTCTTCAGCAAGCTCGACCTGGTCAAGGCATACCATCAAGTGCCCGTTCATCCTAACGACATCGCGAAAACTGCCATCACAACGCCATTCGGCCTGTTCGAGTACCTTCGGATGCCATTCGGCCTGCGTAATGCGGCACAGAGTTTTCAGCGCTTCCTTGACCAAGTCCTCCGCGGTTTGCCGTTCGTTTACGGCTACATTGACGATCTCCTAATCGCCAGTCATTCTCTCGACGAACATCGTGTACATCTCCGAAAGCTATTTCAGCGTCTCTCAGAGCACGGCCTGTTCATTCAGCCGCACAAGTGTGAGTTTGCCAAGTCGAGTCTCAACTTCCTCGGGCATCATGTCTCTCCGGCTGGCATCGCTCCGCTGCCCGATCGTGTTGCTGCTATTCAAGCATTTGAGCAGCCTACCTCTGTTCGTCAACTCCGGAGGTTCCTCGGCTTTGTGAACTTCTACAGACGA